GCTCAGAGACAGAGGAAGAAGTCCACCGGAATTCCCGAAGGGGAGTATGCAGATATAGATACCGACCAAACCGAACTTGATACATGTTTGTCATGCTCTTTGACCTTCTTTCTCGACTTCAATTGGTATTGGCGAAAGATCTGGTTCATGAGATGATTCTTGTTGTTTCAGGTGGGGTAGCTGACGACCATGGGTCGCTCGCTTCCCGTCGTGCGAAATCCAAGTTTGGTGGCCAAACTTCGCATGACCGCCCCGTTGGTTCTATGAGGGGTGATCCTTCGAAAAGGAAAAAGATTGCCCATAAACCTCATGTTGATCAGCGCTCCCATGGGGTAGATTCAGGAGGCTTTGCCGACGGGGAGGAAGGTAACATTTTGTTGTACCCACTTTTATTGCTTTAAGATGATTTACCTTCCGGGATCCCTGATCCTGTTTCATAATTCAGGGTTCTTCGAGGAGGGCGAGCTTCCGCCAGGTCCGGTATTCTCTGGGGCTGACAACATGGACTGCTTCATGCAGCAGGTGTGCGACGCCCTTCGTGATGGCTCCCTGGGCATTGATCTGAACATCGATCTTGGGCAGGCAGATGGTGTTGGTCCCACCGGTTCATTTTCAGATATACCTACATCCGGTGCTGCAGGTGTTGTGACAGAAGGGCCAGACGAGGATGGGGCCTCCCCTATTGCAGATTTCGAAGAGCAGGGATATGTTCCTGCACCGGTTTTCCCGAGACCTGATTCTGGACTGTTAGCCGATATGTTAGCTGAACAAGCTCCCACCGGGACTGTGAGACCACTCTTTGAGAGTGATTCATCCACAGGTATATATCCAATTTCCTCTCTTCTTTGCTTGTCTCAGTCTCCATTTTGACTAATAAAGAAGTGCAACTATATGACCAGGCGCTGTACCTGATTCTGCTATAGCTTCGGGTGTTTTCCCGCCTTCGCCTAATACGACTGACTTGCCCACGAGGGTTGATATACCTTCCATGAGCATTCCTGTCGTTACTTCGGAGCCTGTCGAACCCCAACCCGAGGGGATTTCCGCCGGTATAGGTATACCTCGAATTTCCCTTAGGGTCTTTTCGATTGTATTTAATAGTTTCTTGACCTCCCATACTGCTGCTTGCAGGTTCTCGACCGTCTCTATATGAGCAGGTCCATGCTCTCTTGGCTGATACCAATCCAGATGGGGATGTCTTCCGCACTGACCTCGGTTTCTTTACTGCCTTTAATAACGGTGTGATTGATAAGCTTCTGCACAGAGGGTCTTCCTTTGATCAGTTCAGGCGTTCCTTCTCCCGTCACATGATGATGATGAGGGAAGAGGGATATCCATATTTGGCCGATTCCTTTACAGCTGATTTTGCTGTTCTGGAGTCAGAGATTCGAGAGCTGAGGGAGTTGAAGGCTGGTGGAGCTCCCTCTTTTGCATCTTCTCAGGGAGTCAGAGATTCGAGAGCTGAGGGAGTTGAAGGCTGGTGGAGCTCCCTCTTTTGCATCTTCTCAGGTAGAGGATAGGTTGACGCAGTGGCATGAACTGCGATCTTCCGTTGGAAGCGAGCTTCGATCACGTGAGCGCACTGTCGAGCAGCTGATGGCTTCTCTAGCGAGGAAAGACACCAGCAGAGCTGAGTTAGTGAGCTCCTTAGATTCCACTCGTGCAGAGATA